CCGCCCCCCCCCCCGGTTCCTCTACTAGACATAACATCACATGTTATGGAATACCCCTTTGGTCAGTTTGGGTCAGCTGCCCTGGCTGTGTCCCCTCCTGTTTTGGGTTTGTGTGGCGGCATTTTGGTAGCAGGGGAGAAGGCTACAGGGGTGGCTCCTGTGAGAAGCTGCTGGAAGCTTCCCTGGCTCCAGGTCAGACCCACCTCTGGCCCAGGCTGAGCTCATCAACGATGGTGGCAGCACCTCTGGGAGAACAGATTTATGAGGGGGAACCTGCAGTGAGCAGGGGGATCGGAATGTGAGAGGAACCCCTCTGCAGACACCGAGGTCAGTGCGGAAGGAGGGGAGGAGGAGCGGGGGAGGAGGGGATGCCCCCGCAGCCCGTGGTGAGACGGCAGGCTGTGTCCCCCAGCCCACGGGGGGTAGCGGGGGAGCAGAGGCCCACCTGCAGCTGGGGGAGGACCCCACGCCAAAGCAGGTGGATGTCCCAAAGATGGCCGTGACTCCGTGGGAAAGCCTGCACTGGAGCAGTCTGTGACTGAAGGACTGCACGCCATGGAAGGGACCCATGCTGGAGCAGTTCATGAAGAACTGCAGCCCGTGGGAAGGGCTCACGTTGGAGAAGTTCATGGAGGACTGTCTCCCATGGGAGGGACCCCACGCTGGAGCAGGGGAAGAGTGTGAGGAGTCCTGCCCCTGAGGAGGAAGGAGCAGCAGAGACGACGTGTGATGAACTGACCCAAGCCCCACTCCTGGTCCCCCTGCGCTGCTGGGGGGAGGCGGTAGAGAAAACTGGGATTGCAGCTGAGCCCAGGAAGGAGGCAGGGGTGAGGAGGAACGTGCTCTAATGTTTGGTTTTATTTCTCATTATCCTGCTTTGATTTGATTGGCAACAGATTGATTTTGCTTTTTTCTGCAAGTTTAGTCCGGTTTTTGCCCGTGACCATAACTGGTGAGTGATCCCTCCCTGTCCCTGTCTCAAACCACAAGCTTTTCTTTATATTTTCTCCTCCCCATCCCAGGGAGCAGGGCGGGGTGGGGGAGCAGTGAGTGAGCGGCCTCCTGGTGCTTTGTTGCTGGCTGGGCTTAAACCACGACACCTCCCAACTTCTTGTGCCCATCCAGCCTTCTTGCTGGCTGGGCATCAGAAGCTGAAAAATCCTTGACTTAGTATAAACACTGCTCAGCAACAATGGAAAACTTCAGTGTGTTATCAACATTATTCTCATACTAAATCCAAACATAACACTATACCAACTACTAGAAACAAAATTAACTCTATCCCAGCCAAAACCAGGACATTCCTGGATAACTTTCATGTACCTTAAACATACCCCTCTATTCTTTCAAAAATACACTATCTTAAGGAAATAAAAGTCATCATACTGTTATGTTCCTTCCCTCCAAACGAAAATCTGCAGCAACAGAAACATTGTATTCCATAGGCAATTTTCTGGTAACTTTCATTAAATTTAACACTTGGAGAAACAGTCATGTTAGGATGCTAGACTATCAGACATGTAGTAACACACAAGTATACATATGAACATAAAATTCAGTCCAATAACGTTCAGTAGTCAAACAGAATGCCATTAAATTTAACAGACAACAAAGAACAGAAAATGCTTCAAAAAGTGATCTTATCCAGATTAGGAAACATAGTCTATTCTTTGCTGCCAAAAACTGGGTCCAGAAAATCAAGTTCAAGCTATTTCAACACCAGAAGGTGGAAAGTAAAACATATATTTCTTCAGAACATCTACAAAGTAGTCCCTTGACTTCAGTAATAAGTAACGCATGTAGGTAACTTGCACACTTTCATTATCTGTAACTATACAGTAAACGGATAGGGGAAAAAAAAAACCAGTCTCTCAAGTAGTTTATCTACTTAAAATGCAATCTGACTTTGTGGTGCAAACCACAACAGCAAAATGGTGCAGAAGATCCTTGTGGACCTCCAGCTTTCAAATTCTCAATGTAAGAGGTGGTTTGCTTGGGTTTTCTTAAAATCCGGATTAATTCCAGGGATCCATTTTTAAACAATCACCCCACAGTTGATGGGGCAATGAGAAAATAACAAATTAACTGCAGCACAAGAGGAAGTCATTGTGGGAAAAGCAGGAATCTCTTAATTTGGGTATACACCCCAATAAATAAATGGATATAGAACAACAAATTTGGTTTATTGGCTGGATTTAGCACAAAGCAGATGAATGAGCACCCACAACAACTGCCCCTAGCAAACTGCTAAGGGCAGAATTGTTACCCATAGTAGTAACAATCCTTCTGCACCAGCAGTTTAAACCAGGATATCAGCTGCCAGATTGGCATTAGCAAGTGTGGGAAGTGTTCCTACTGGCAACAAATCTGAAACTGATTCCAACTACTTCCATACTCAGTGGCCACCTTTTCTTATATATATCAGTGCGAAAGCTGATATTCAAGCTAAAGAAAAGATTAAGTATTTTCTTACTACTATTTCATTTCAATACTAATTCGCTACAACAGCATCAGGGAAAACCTTTGTAATGCAGGTAAATTATTTCCCTACGAATGAAGTTCTCATTAACATGTATGAAGTTATTGACAAACACATCACTACATTTGTACGTTATACATTGTTATAGTTACTGAAAACTGCAAATTTGCACAAGCTGAAACATTGCAAGACCACCAAAGGCTATCCCAGCTGGATTTGCTGTACACACACACAAAAATAGTGTACTAGGTTTATGAGTTGCAAATGATTTCTGCAGAATTAAAATGACACTTCAATACCCTGCAAAAAAATATAAATAAGAACTAAATAAGATCTTTTTATGAGACTAGATTCAAGCTGTGGCCTTTATGTATTGTGTCACCAGGCAATTTTATCTAATAAACTACTGGTAGTGGCAGTGACTCCTTTCCCCAAAGAAAATTTGCACTCTGCTTGGTGCAACTTTAACTATTAACAATGCCAGCAGAGGTGCTAAGAGCTCCTATGAACAGGTATGAGAGGTCTGTACAGTGCCACCTTGTTATTTTTCAGCTAATGACTGTGGTTTTGATACACCACACAAGAGTATTGTTCTAACGAAACAAGATTGCATTTATTCCAGGAGTTAAATAAAGCAAACAAAAAAGTCCTTACTTCTTGATTGTGTTTAATGGTTAAATCTAATTTTTCTTTTTTAGCTTGACAGAGTTTCCTTCTCAGATCTTCAGCAGCATCCAATTCTGATTCATTGCTACTTTGTAGTAACTGTGACTCACAGTTGGCATTATGTAAGCTGCAAAATATGAATGTTTTCACAAAAAGTAAGTATACCTTTTAAGTTTTAATGTTCCCTTATTTCAATGACCATATTGTGAGCACAAAGTTCTAAACATTCACTTAAGTAAAATTAAGCCATGCAATTGTCATCACACTATTGCTCTTTGAAAACAGGGTTATACAGAATTGTTTACTGTGCAAGATACGAGAGATGTAGCAGCAGAACTTAAAACAGATATGCACTTCGGATTTCCTAAAGTTGATTTAAGCATAACATGTTTTTTATTATTTTTCATTATCTTTATTATTGATTCAATAAACTTTCAGGATGTTTAAAAACCATCATTCCAACCACTTAAAATAACTAGCAAGTTTTTGTTTGTACCCTGCAGTAAGGCTCATTTTTTAACATGCATTACCATCTCAAAACCACCTCTGTCATGAAACAAATGCACATATGTGGAACAAAAATAACTTTTCCACATTTTTTATTCAAAGATATATACATTTAAACTACACACAAGCAAACACAGTACAAATTAAAGGTCTAGTCCTCTAAAATAACCTGTATCTTCATTTCCACTACTTCAGTTAAAAGAAAATCTACTTGGCAGTTAGCAGGATCAGCCCTTGAGCATCACAAGCAATATTAAAATAATCAAAACAAGCTTTTATATGTAGAATGAAAAATCAGTATAAAAACACATATTTAATTAAAATGAACTAGTTTAATAATCTTATGTGCAATTATTGTAACTTCAAACCAGGCAACTTTTGAATGATTTCAGGAGTTAAAAATCAGTTTTCACATTATTTTATATATGTCAGCTTTCACATTTTTTTATATATATAAGACTGGCTGCAATAATTAGTTGCTCCACACAAAAGCACAAGTCGTCAGGACCACTAAGTATGAAATATATTGTAAAAAGAAACATGATTAAATTAACAACAAATTTGGCATCATTTCATACAGAACTGAAAATACTAAAATAGCTTACCTTTGCCTACATGAAGTCTTAATTATTAGTTACAGAAATGACAGTCTGCCAGGATTTAATTATTTATTCTTTCTAAATAAAAAAATGACGACTTTACTCCTAGGTTTGTGCACCATTAAGATTTTCCACGACTGAGAACTCTACTTGATGAAATACATGTTTTCTCACAGAAGTTGACTAGCCAAAAAGGCACAAACATCATCAACAAGGGGAACAGTAATTTAGATTAAGTGTTGCCTTTAAAGACGTTACTAATAACAAAGGATGAAATTGCAGGTTTTTAGCTGCAGCCTATAAATATTTTATAATTTAATAAATACTAAGTCTACTTCCTTTTAAAAACAAGATGGACTTCATCTATGGCATCAGAATAATTGTGTGACATCTGTAATTGTACCACAGGGTGCCATGTGCTTAACACTTTTTATGTATTTAATAAATGTAGGAGATAAGGACCATTAAAACCTGCATGTACTGCAAGAAAACCACAGGCACATTATTAGCTTTCAATGTTTACTATGGGAGCCATACCCAAAGGAACCAACATAACTCAAAGGGCAAAAGGTCAGAAACAAGGTAAGTAAAATCACGTATCATTATTTTATGCAACTCCTAGCCACTGCAATAAGAAGATCTAGTGGTAAGTCAAGCAGGAAAGAAGGATAAGAACAGCCAGAGAACCTGTAAACTGTATAAAAGCTTGTTTGTGGACATCAGATAATAGGTTTCGGAGACCTTTATTTTTCCATGGCTGGGAAAAACACAGATGAAAGAAAGGCAAGTCAACTTACTCAGAGATGACGCAACAAGTATCAATCTCAACTACAGATAGCTAAAGGCCAGGCAGCACCAAAGTTAGCAAGGCACAGGTTAGGGACTAAAACAGAACCTAGATTGAAAACTGGGGAGGACTAGGGCAAAGAAACAAGGGTTATGGAAAGGGTAATGATTTTGTTAGTTTGCAGGCAGCAGGGAGGTCGTTTTGCTTCTTTAAACCTGGTGATATTTAATACTTCTTGCATAGAGAGCACACTGAATGTGAAAAAGGGAATGAGTACTTTTTGTAGAGTAAATAAAAAAACACCTTTAAATCTCTTAAGTAAATTACATTGGTTTGTATGGCAATCAGCTTTCACGAAAACTGTTCATTCCAATTCCTTTATTAATTATCCAGGAAAAAAAAAAGAGCACAATAGAGATATCTACACAATAAAACTTACTCAGAGGAAAATTTAACTATGTGATTAACTGTTCTGCTTAACTGGACCAGTGGAAAAAAAAACCAAACAACCCCAAACAAGTTACAGAACATCACAAGTAATAGCAAATTAGGGACATTATAGAAATGAAAAGTGCATAAGAGCACTAAGGCACAACAGTAACTACTGGGAAAAAAAGCATTAAACACCTTTTTAAAATAGCATTTTCTGCATAGCTTCTAAACTCACAATGCCATTACTTAAAAATTAAATCCATAAAGCAGAAAACCCTATTATCGTTCTTAGTATAGAATCAAATTGAATCAGCCACTTTAAAAAAAAACAAAAAACAAAACAAGGGAACATTACTATGTTAACCACTTCATTATTTTGTCTACTTAAACGTTTTCAAATAAAATAGTGATTGTCCTTAAGAACTCTTATTTCTGTGATATTTCATCATCACAGCGTCGCCAGCACATGCAGTACTTCATGAAAGCTTCATAATACCTGTTGTAAGAGAGTCTTCCTTCCATATTCATATTACAAGTAGAAGTGCTACAAGCATATAGCTCTCAGAAGCTTAAATCAAAGACAAAACCACAAAAAAAAAAAAAATCACTGGGAAGTTTCACAGCATGTATGATTTGCAGTCTAACAGGAATTCAGAGAATGCTTTATACTTCCATTTGTATATCTTAATAGTTCATCGATCATTGGTTTTGAACTAAAATATGTATTTTACCTACAGCTTTTATCTAAGACACCATTTTTATTAGTACTTTAAGATTCTTCAAGAAAGCATATAAGCAGGTGAAATAGCTTTTGAGTCCTACATTGCAGAATGACTTTTTGTAACTCGAAAACTTTAAACTCACATGCACTTCAAAAGTCAGCTAGTTACAGTGAACATAGCACATTGCAGAAAAACAGTTTTTCACTAGCTTTTCTTCCACATCTAGCAGAAAACGTAGAGTCATTTTTTAACAGAGAGAAATTTTCTTTCATTTATTACATAGCAGTGGAATTTTGCTAAACTTTCCCAGCTGAAGGAGTAGTCTGCAGTCTGATTTCCTAACCAAAGATCATATTTGTGGAATTTTGCTGTTCCTACATAATTGGCAGTTTTGTATTATCAGACTTCAAATAGTGCCAAATAGCTCTCACAGCCACAACAAACAGAATGAATTAAAGCTTACTTTAATTGTGCCAAAGATCAAACACATATCAGGTTATAAAAATAAGAGCCATGTGCAAGACTTAAGGCCAACCTCTACTACCTCAGCTAATGCAGAAAACCATTCTGTAACTCCAGATCACCGTTCCTAACTGCAGACAGGAACTCCCTCTATCTCTAAGTAATGATTCCTACAGTTGTGTGAGAATTCTTGCACATCAGATGGCCAGTACACACGCCTTCAAGTAAACCTTTTCATATAGTGACTATATTGCATGTATTACACCATACCTGGTTCTTCTTCAGTCTGAATTACATAATTTCAGGGATCTAGAAAATAAACCACAAAAACATGAACCATATTACTAGACTTAAAAATACAGAAGTGGAGCTCACCATTTAGCTTCCGTGACAGTGTAGCTGACCGGAGATGACAAACTCATGATGTCCAATATGCAGCTTTTTAAGTCTATAAACTCTGGAAAATTAACATCTTCTTTGACCATATATACTTTTACTTGACAAGCTTCAAAGATTACTCTTTTCCATATCGCAAAAACATTAAAACCTGTAACAAAACCTGTAACAAATGCTTTAGTTTATTTGGCAACATAATAGAAGAATCATTTGTTAACGCTCACGAACACTCACCAAACAGTGTTACTACTATGTCATGTGAACAATTATCACCAACTGTAATGTGACATCAGTTTTAGTCAACAAAGAGGATTGTCCTGCTAGTTGACTAAACTTGAATATCGTAGACAAAAAAAAAAAAAATAAAATTTGTAGAATATCCACTGCCAGGGTTTTCAGAGGGATGTCAATACAAAAAGTTATGTTTGCACAGATTGTTTCCCTGCATTCTCTATTCTCCTAAGAGGATGACAAACTCCATCTCTCTTCTAAATAATTCTAAGGGAGATAAATGCATGTACCATTTTTGTAGTAGGTCAATATCCAAGGTTTGCTGTCTAATAGCAGTCTTTAACATAGCAAGTCTTCTAACTGCTTCATAAACCTGGAACCTTCTACTTGAATGTATTTTTATTGTATTAGATGTATCAGCAATATTTAGGGGTATACAGGAGGAATACTAAATTAAACTATTACTCAGCTCATCTTTAGAAGAAGCTCACTAATTTAGTGTTACTCATAAAAAGAAATCAATACAGATAACATATTTATAACATAGACCTTAAAAAAACTCCTTCAAGTTGAATAGCAAACTCTTTTATGAGTTCTTTCCATTAATTAAAGCAAGGTTATATAAAGAATAAGCTGTATTCAACAGTGAAGATTAATGAGCTATGAAGGTTTGCTTTTGAACTCCACAGCAGATGGACATCCACACTAAAGTCCAAAACAAGAAACTAGCCTGGACTCCATCTTTACCATCTCTGGCTTGCAGCCACATGGTTGCCACAATCTATTTCCATTGGACTGAACACAGAAGTACTCGATGTAATACATTAAACATAAGCTGATCTTGATTGATCCAGTAGCTAATAATCTAGAAATCTGAAGAAGAAAAAATGCATTTCTGCTTCAAACTGTAATTTTAACAAAACATGCAACAAGAATAAACGTACTATTTCTAAAAACTTTTTTTTTTTTACAGAAAAGCATAACAACTAGTGCCCAGGGTTATCATACTGCTTTATATTCAAACACACAGTTACTCCAAAGTGTCTTCAAAATCAAGTGGAGTAATATGGGAAGAAAAGTACAATGAAGGTTAAGTTTGCTTTGGTTTGTTAACAAAGAATATTTAGATGTATCATTTGTGATTTTTAAGATCTACCCATCAGAATTCACCTTGGCACATGTGTTCATAAGCCCCAAAACACATAACTACCATACAACTGTCACTCACACTCCTAGAGAAAGTAACACAGCTTTCTTTCCATCTCAACTGAGAAAATAGTCAAAGACCTCATTTTCAAAGTATAGACAAGTCTGTGGTACAATTGCTAGGCACATGTTAAGGCCCATTAAATTATTAGTAACTTGCAAACTAAAAACTCCAACTTTACATGAGAGAAGAACAATCCTGACAGAGTATTTGTAGTATTGTTCTCAACAAAGATCAATTACTTGAATAAAAAAATTTGTTGTATCAGGGTATGACAAACTATACCTCTATCGATTGTGCTAAATTTTCACACTAAGATGTAGGTCTGAACACTGACAAACTAGTTTTTCATACAACCCTTTTAAGCTTTACTGCAACCTACACCGAAAATCTCATAATGAACAGTAGAAAAAAATGTTAGTCTCAAAACATAATCAAAAGGTACTGTCACATCCACATCATTCTGCAGTTTTAAAACTTCCCGAAATTGCTCTTAAGTCACATCGAGGGGGAAGAAAAAGAAAATCTAAGTAACATTTTCTAGGAATGGTAGTAGTTTTGAATACACAACATTCCTCTGTTAAAATATATATCAATAGCTAGTTTATTAGCACACGAATGCATTCCAAAAGCATGCTATTTCACCTACAAAAAAAAAAGCATTCAAGTGGCATGTAACGGCTCATAGGGCCCTCTAAGTATAAGAAGTGTTTGAGGACTTAATATGTTTGACGGATGCTCCCTACAAAACTCGTATCATATTCACCTCATGAACTTCTGAATACACTTAACTAACTTCAGCAAGGCCACTAATTTAGAATAGATACTAGGAAAAAATTCTTCACTGTGAGGGTAGTGAGGCACTGGAAGAGGTTGCCCAGAGAGGTTGTGGATGCCCCATCCCTGGAAGTGTGCAAGGCCAGGCTGGATGGGGCTCTGAGCAACCTGGTCCAGTGGAAGGTGTCCCTGCCCATGGCAGGGGGACTGGAAGGAGATGATCTTTGAAGGTCCAACACAAACTGTTCTGTGGTTGAGACTACTCAAAATAAATCTAACTACGATCTCAAGATGTACTACTTTAGATCATACAAAGCCAGGTGTAACTACCGTATCTGCACTGGGACCTATAAAAACTCCCCAGCAGTTGTTTCAGCCGAAAGAAGCACTAGATTTTCATTAGGGTAGACCAAAAATCTTATGCAAGCTAAAAATCAAAGCAACAGCATCGCTTCACTACGCTTACACCAAAGACGTCACTGGTTTAAGCGCACTCTGTACCAGTGGCTCCGCCGGTGTACCTGGCAGGCCGAAGTGACGTGCGGCGTGCCGGCAGCTGACGGGAAAGGGCCGGCGGGGGCCTCGGGCTGGGCGGGCGGTCAGGGGGGGGGGGGG